CATGGATGAACCTTGAGGACATTATGCTGAGTGAAATTAGTCAATTACAAAAGGAGAAATACTGCATAGAACCGTTATTATAAAAGAGTAAGAAAAAGAACCCACACTAAAAGGGGAAAAAAATTACATACATATTTGCTGATTACCATGATGTATGGAATAAAGTGCGGGGAGGGAGCGAGGGGAAGATAGGAGCACAGGGTAGGAAATAGACACAGGATAGCTTGGAAGTGTGGGTCGGGAGGGAGGCGGGTAGCAATACACAAGAAGGGGGAGGGGAACGGAAGAACAAGGCCAATGGGAAAACAGGCAGGTTCACATAGGCTAAGTGGGACAGAGGTAAATGATGATGTAGGCACAACCTTGGAACAACAGGGCTCTGGGATACAGGGATTGAGACATGGTTTGAAGGGGTAAAAGAGGGGAATAATGTTAAGATGCTTGACTGTCTTTGAATGTTTGCTTCCTTGTCTACTATTGTCAAATAGACACTTGAGGGTGTAGAAAGGAATAGCCAGAATCATCGCTACAGAAAGCTTGTAAATCCGTCTTCAGCCTACAACTTATTGGAATACCTTAAAGGGGGCTAGAAGGTGCACAGTGAAAGAGGCTTCCTGTGGAGCCTTTACACTGCACAAGACCATAGGTGGAATCCAGAACCCCATCCAGAACCAACTGAGGTAGGAAATTTCCACTGGAAAAGAGGAGTAGACCAGCCTGGATCGGCTAGAAGAACAGAGGATATCCCCTGAAAGAAAGACCAGCAGGAAAAATCCTAAACAATTAACGGCAGTCGGATTGATTACTACAAGAACAAGTAAGCTGTTTGCCCAGTAACCATTAAGGCAAGTGGTCGGGACTCCTCAGAGAAAACCCCCTTCCAAGACTGAGACTCAAGGGGAGTACATGAACAGGCATGGGGTCTGGCTGGTGACCACGTTGGTCACTGATAAGGGGAAGAGGGGATAAAAAACAGCATTGAACTTATGAACTATGCCCTACCACATTCAATGGACCTCTGTGAACCTGGGTGGAGACCTGGATGGCCAGCAATATGGCAAGACCTGGGGACTTCTGGGCCCAGAGGCAGTGACACTGCCACAGAGGACTAGAGCTGAGAGTGAAGCATCCAGCTGATATGAAGTGAAGAGAGATGAGTGAGAACACCCATACTTGCAGATAGCACCCCCTTGACCTGGCTTCGATGGCTGGATGATCAGAACTTGACTAGAAAAAGAAATAAGTGGGTGGCGGGGAAAGAGTAACCTGCTACAATTTGATGAACTTCATGGAACAAATCTTTACAGCGAGGATCACTCCCACCCCCTCGGTATGCAGGGTTGACAGGAATGGGCACTTAAAGACATTGGCTACCTAAAATGAGGGTGCCTATAAAGGAAGTGACTGGCTTACAAGCTTTCAAGAGGGAACCTAGTTCCAGACCGGGTGGGCGAAGGTAGAATCACCACTGAATTAATTCCAACTGGTTGGGACCGGGCTGGCGAAAGGAAATGGGCATAAGACTCTTGTGGTACAATAGTGAATAACTGCCATCAGGACTGACTGTCAGGGTAGGAAATATAGAGGTAGATGCTTTTTTGACAAAAGGAGGAGGGAGAGTGATTGATTTTGCAGCCCAGAAGCGGAGGTCACTGGGACCATCAAGTGAGAAGAAGGAGAGGCAGTGACGCCAGGGATGGAGACAGAGACAATGATGTGAACAGATGAAGTGGCTGGGGACACTGGACTCAGGGAGGGAGAAGGGCTGTGTGCTGGCAGCCGGGGGTGGGGGTGGGGGGTTGGTGGGCCTGTTTGGTGTACCCTTTGGTTATTTGATGATGCATGGAGGGGATTGTAATTATTGCAACGAAACAAAATACAATAGGAAGAGTGTAAAGCTGATGTTCTCCTATGTAAACCTCACAATAAAAACTTAAAAACAAAACGAAAACAGGGGAGTGGTTAATCTTACAGTCCAGAAACAGAGGACCCTAAGACCATCAAGGGAGAAGAGCACAAGCAGAATGCAGGACCTTATCCAGAGAAGCAGCGTCAGACACAGATGGAGACATGGAGAGAGGAAACAGCTGAGGACTCTAGATTGATAAGAAGAGAGGGACTAAGAGCCAGTGGCCAGGAGAATGTGCCCTTTGGAGGTGTAAATTATTATATATGCCTGAGTGGGGTTTTTTTTTTGTCTGTTTTTTAAAAAAAGCTAAAGTGAATATGAGAAATACTGTTAACTAATGGTACATGGAGGGGATTATAATCATTGTAATGAAACAAGGTGTATGATTTGTTGAATATAAAATTGATGATCTGTCCTGTAAACTTTCACAATAAAAACTTTTAAAAAAAGGTGTTAAAAATATATTTCCCTCAATTATAAACCTTTTGACTTAAAAAAAAAAAAAATCAAACTTCAACTTTCAGTTCACTGTGTTAAAATCTCTAACAGTAGAAAATTCTAAAGATAGTTTTTCTTCTTCCAAAAATAAAAGTACAAATTCCAAATCATATTTTGTTAAAAAAATTTTCCTTAAAATTCAATTTTATGGTAGTTCTGTTATGTTGTCAATAGTTTTATTATTAATTTTCTATGACTATTAATAGTTCTAACAGGTAAATCTTAAAATATACATACAAGTAAATATTTATTCTTACCTCAGTACACCTTGTACAATCTGGGTTTTTTAATTCCTCAAGCAAACTGTAGTTTTCTGTTACAACCTTAGTTATGTGATACTTGTCTAAATTTTATTTTTAGGACAGAGAGAGAGAGAACATTAATTTAAAAACATAAAAAAACTCATATTGGTTACATTCTAATTCTTAGCATAGGTAAGTGACTCGAAGTATATAAAATGCATTATATTTTCTAAAGAATTTATAAAACCCTGGTAGTGCAGATGTTAAGTATTTGTCTGCAAACAAAAAGGCTGAGCAGTTTCAAAACACTAGTCACTTAGCACAAGGAGACCTGGTGGTGCTTTAGGATAAGCACTGGACTTCTAACCACAATTTTCAGCAGTGCAAACCCACCAGCCTCTACACAGACAAAAAATGAGGTCTTCTGCTCCCGTAAAGATTTACAGCCTAGAAAACCCTATTCTGCGTCACTGTGAGTTGCAATCTACTAGGTGACAGTGGGGTCACATTAGCACAAGAATACAACTGGAAATCTGCTCCCATAAAGATTATTATTGTTATTGCTGTTAAGGACTGTCGAGTCAGTTCCGACTCACAGCGACCCTGTATAGGGTTTCCAATGAATAACTGGTGAGCTTGAACAACCAACTTTGCAGTTCAAACCGGCCTTGCAGTCCAGTGCATTAACAATCAGCATCACACCAGGAAATCCTGAGGTAGTTCTAATCTGTCCTATATAGTTGCTTTGCAATTAACTCAACAGCACACAGCAACAAAAATTACATACTTTTTATAGTACTTTTTGATGCATCAAATAATATACTAATAAAATTTAAAAACTGGTAAAAATGTTTACAAAAACACTAATGTCATTGCTCACTGGGGTTTAGAGAGTTTTTACATGCAGAATTAAAGGAAAAAACCACACATTTGTTATTAGATTACGTGTTGTTTCAACAAACGCTGTTTTAACAGATTCCAAATACGGCTCATAACTTATCAAATAAATTCAATAAACATTATTAAGTATATACGGTATGCTGTTACTAAGTACCATTGAATTGTTTCAACTCATGTTGTTGTTGTTGTTAAGTGCCATCGAGTCGGTTCCGACCCATAGTGACCCTGAACAGGGTTTCCAAGGCTGTAAATCTTTACGGGAGCAGAAAGCCTCATCTTTCTTCCATGGAGCAGCTGGCAGTTTCAAACTGCTGACCTTGCGATTCACAGCCCGATTTGTAACCACTACACTACCAGAGCTCCTTGTCCCAACTCATAGTGACTCTGTATACTTTCCAAGGAGAAGCTGGTGGGTTTGAACTGCTGACATTGCATTAGCTGTCCAATGCCACATCAAGGCACAATGTTCAATGAAAATAAGAACTTGCAAAACTACTTTAGTCTAAAATGTACATAATACAACAAAATGAAGATGTTAAAATATCTCTATTCAAAAATAAACTTTTGACTCTAAGAAATGAAATGTTAAAATAAGATGTTATTTGAAACACTATTCTTATAAAATATTAATAAATTCATTAAAATGCAGTAGGTAATACACTTTATGTCTAAAATTTCTAGGCCTTATTATCTGTAATTTAAACTGTTCTATAAAAAAAAAGGAATTTGGTTTAATGGTTAAAAAAATTATTTCAACAAAAATACAGCTAAACCTTAGCCAAATACATTCATTTTCAGGCAAAAGGAGTGTCTAGAAGATAAGATTCATGGAAAAATCTGAGAAGATCACTCTGTCCCTAAGTTTTGACCATAAAGTAAAAACTTAGGGACAGAGTGGTTATAGGAAGAAAACCTAGACTTTGGAATCAGACCTGACTACCCAACAAGGCTGTTGTTGTGTTTAAGTGCCATCAAGTTGGTACTAATTCATAGTGACCCTATGCACAACAGAATGAAACACTGCCAGGTCCAGTACCAATCTCACAATTGTTGCTATGCCTGAGCCCATTTCATCATTTCTGCTGCCACTGTGCCAATCCATCTCATTGGAGGTCTTCCTCTTTTTCTCCTACCCTCTACTTTACCAAACATGACAGACATGCTTCTCCAGGGATGGTTCCTTTTGGTAGTATGTCCAATGTATGAGAAACGAAGTCTAGCCATCCTGGCTTCCAAGAAGCGTTCTGGCTGTACTTCCAACACAGATGTTTGTTTTTTTGGCAGTCCATGGTACTGTCAATATTATCCTCCAACACCATAACTCAAATGCATCAATACTTCTATGGTTTTCCATAGTCACTGTCCAACTTCTGCATGTGTATGAGGTTATTGAAAATACCATGGTTTGGGTCAGGCACATCTTAGTCATCCAACTGACATCTTTGCTCTTCAACACTTTAAAGAGGTCTTGACCAGCAGATTTGCCTACTACTCAACTAGACTGTATAAACAACACTTAACCTCTGAGCCTTAATTCACCCATTTCTAAAATAGGGACAATAACAGTTACACCTTGCAAAGTTATTGTAAAGGAGAGAGAAACCAACCCATAATCAGAAACAAACAAACCCACTGTTGGTGCCCAATGCATGAGGCTACGTCTCTTCACCACAAAACCTAGTACGTAATTAAAGCCCTCCAGAATAACAAAAAACAACCTCTATCAGTACAACACATCCCAGTGCTTAGTAAATCAGAAAAACTGTCTTCATATTTAAGCTTCATTACTCTTAGGTCATTAGTACAGATTTTGCTCTTTTCAGTATAGATTACATATCACTGATCATCATCTACTAAGGAACCAAACATTTCCTGTCTCAATTAGTATATTATTAAGACACTGCTAATATGGTAGTTTCAACAGACATAAAAATAACAGATTTGTCAGGAAAATACAAATTATATTATCATCTAAGCATCTATTAAGTTCTTTCAATTATGAATGAGGAGTCCTGGTGCGGCACTGTAGGATAAGCACTGGACTTCTAACCACAAAGTCGGCAGTTCAAACTCACCAGGCACTCCCTGGAATCCCTATACGGAGTCACTATGAGTTGGAATTGACTTGATAGCACTTATCAACAACAAAAATTATGAATGTAAATATACAATATAAACCCCAATCATGGTCTCTTCCTTTAGAATAGCATATGACATCAATATGATAGGAGTTTTTAAAGGCATAGTATCATAAAAAGCATTAGAACAGAAATATGGAATAAAAGTAACTACAAAATTAAAGTTCTCTTTTTCAGGCTTACATTACAAAAGAGTATCTTTTTTATTAATCCCAAAACAAATAAATCCATATTTAAACATTCCCTTTTCCCAAATAATTTTTAAACAAAAATTGAGTCAAGTAATAATTTAAGGCACTTATACTTACATTCAGTAAAGAAAATACTCAACATAGGCCAACAATTTTCAAGGGATCCTAGTTTATGCAGAAGTGTTATACCACCTACTATTTTTACCCAATTCACAGCCTCTTCAAATGCCAAGATTTTCTGTTTTAAAAATAGGGATAAAAAGTGGTATTTCAGCATTAGTTTACATTTGTCATGTGGCATAGGCATTTTATTTTACACAGTTCAGATCCATAATACAAAACTAGTATGAATACCACATTATCATTACTCCAGTATGCAACCAGTTAACATACAAAGTTAACAAATTATCATGGATTCAGGCCACCTTCAGAGTTTAAGATGCTTGTACACTGATTCCAGACATGGAAACTCAGGTCTCAGCCTAGCCAGATATCAGTGAGGAGGAAGGCATTCCAGGCTTCATCTGAACTAGGACCTCTACCTTTTATCCTTAGAACTAGCCCAAAGTTCAACTAGGACCTTCATGAAACATCAGGAGTTCAGAGAAATGCTAGTGTAATTTCAATGTGTAAAATAAATTAAGAAATTGAATATTTTGAGTTATTGATGTTGATGTCAGACTTAAGGGAAATATGTAGATGTTTATGTCACCAAGTACCATTATAAACTGGTTTATTACTCATTATATCTGGAGATTAACTACTAATTACAAATGTATAAAATATTCACATCAGGGACTTAATAATTTCAATTGGGGAAACCTATGCCAGGAATCTGCTGCACAAGACCTTTTTAAAGTGCTGAAGAGCAAAGATGTCAGCTTGAGGACTAAGGTGCACCTGGCCCAAGCCGTGGTATTTTCAATATCCTCATATGCATGTGAAGGCTGGACAAGGAATAAGGAAGACCATAGAAGAATTGCTTTTGAGTTCTGGCATTGGAGGAGAATACTGAAAGTGCCTTGGGCTGCCAAAAGAACAAACAGATCCGTTTTGGAAGAAGTGCAGCCAGAGTGCTCCTTGGAGGCCAAGATGGCCAAACTTTGTCTCTCATACTTCGCACATATTGTCAGGAGAGACCAGTCGCTAGAGAAGGGTATCATATTTGGTAAGGTGGATGGTCAGAGAAAAGAGGAAGACCCCCAACGAGATGGACTGGCCAAGTGGCAGCATCGATGGACTCAAGTATGGCAACAGTAGTGAGGTTGGCCCAGGATTGGGCATTGTTTCGTTCTGCTGTGCATAAAGTCGCTATGGGTCGGTACCAACTCGATGGCACCTAACAACAACAAGGCCAGGAAAGTAATCTAAAAGAGGAAAAAGAATCAATTTGTGCAAAGATGCTAAAAATTACCCTACATATGTGTATAGAAAATGAAAATGACTCAAAAGCCCCAGAAATTAGGAGACTGTTTAAGACTGCTTAAGACTTGCTTAAGCAAGATACAGAAAGTAACACTAATCAAATACTATATATAAAATGAATTCAATACATGGGGAAATGAGCAGTGAAATGAAAGACATCTATTCACAATGGTTCCCACTTTAACACTTACATTTTCTATTTTGTAACCAATTCTCAGTAAGTTTCCAATAAAGAATGAATTATTCTGCAAAATAAAAAAGAATATGTGTTTCCTTATTCAATTAACGATATGTGAATTTTCTAGTGGAAAAAACATCCTATATTTTAAGAAAGCTTATAAATAATAATCTTCTTCCCTCAAGTACTTTCATGCCCATTTCATCCCTAAACAAGAATTCAAAACTGGTCTTATATAGGGCTCTAATGATGAAATGATTCAGTTTAACTTTTAGAAGGATGAATTTTTAAACTTCATTATACCCAGACTTTTAACAAACGTACATTGGCTGATAAAAATTACCGCAAAGAATTATCAGCATTAAATAAACATCAAAAGGTCTTTTCTAAATTTAAGTCTGCAAGAAAAACACTTAGCTCCATAAACAAAACTAAATAATAAAATTATCAAATAGCTTTCAAGAAAAAAGAATCTCTCAATCAATACCGTCTTAAAACATATATGCTAAAAGTTTACCCTAAAGACAAAATACTTTTTGCAGTAACAAAGTTTGTAGTCTATATTTAGGTACTGGCTGTTGTTAGTAAATGCTGTGGAGTCAGTTCTGACTCATAAAGACTCTGTACGGGGCTTCCGAGGAGCGGTGTATGGATTTGAACCACTGACCTAGAGGTCAACATTCCAGTGCTTATCCTACAGCAACCAGGACTTCAATTTTTAGGTTACCAAATAAAACTCATCATTTTCAGAACCTGTCACATGGTTTCTATGAACTACAATCCCATTTTGAACATGTAACAAACTGACAAATTCCACATTTCATGCTCCTACAACAAGCAGTGGAGTCCTATGTGGCACTATAGGATAAACACTGGACAACAAAGTCAGTTTGAACCACAAGGTCGGCAGTTCAAACCCACCAGCCACTCTTTGGAAATCCTATACAGGGTCTCTATGAGTCAGAACCAATTTGATGACACTTAACAACAACAACAACATCATGACAAGCAGCAGTCGTGGTCCACATCATGTCATATCAGGACTATGTTAGCAGCTATCTACCTACCTGATCTCACTAATACTGAGCACAAACTCATGAACTGTTATATGCCATGTAACAAACTTAAACAGGGTTTCCGAGGCTATAATTCTTTGAGGGAGCAGAAAGTCCTATGGTGGAGTGACTGGTGGACTCTAACAGTTAACTGCTACAAATTACTAACTTTTAGCCTAACACCATATCATAAAAAATCTTAATGTTCTTTAAATAGGATTCTTTTTATATCCACATTCTATAAAACTTACCACAACTTTTTTAGCCAAATCCACAATATCTTCCATCAATTCAACATGTTGCAATTTCTCCAAACTTACTTCACAAGCACGAGAATTACTTAAAAACAAATTTGTTTTTTAAAAGATTAGGCTCTCATATATACAATTTTATTGAAATTTACACTTAAGACTTAGATATCCCTAACAATGTCACAATTCCATTTAAAATATTGGGGGGGCGGGAATTAAGTTCACAAAATACTATACACCTTTTATTCTACAACACTGATATTTATAAAAAGCATATTAATTTTTCTTGATTCAGCTTCACGTCTACCATATAATGCTATTCAGAATTTCATTCATTCTAATGTTATAATAACCATTCATTTACATCCAAATCCTAAGTGTTCACTTTTTCTACTTTAATTATTAAACAAGAGCCAATACAAACAGTATACCAGAATGAGACATAAGCCTTCCTTATGTAATTGTCACTGTTCATACAAAATAAGTAACACAGTAACTTACTTAGACTCCACACAGGGATGTAATCGTGTCAATATAGAACCATGCTGATGTTGAAACAGAAGTGGCCAGAAGATATATACTTTTATGGCATCACAGTACTCTTTCAGGACAGAAACTGGTTTACGACACCAGATACGGCAAATGTCAAATTCTTAAATAAAAAACAAAAATTTTTTTTCATCTTATTTTTAAATGAACCAAGACTGTTAAATAGGAGAAAGCAAAACAGATATGGAAGGACAAGATACCAAACTAGGATGAAAAATATCTTTGACTTGACCTGTTAAATATTAAGTACATTTAAAAGTTGACTAAAATTCTATTTTCACAATATGGCTTTGGTTTCTTAATGAAAAATAATAAAAATTTAAAAGATAAAATGTTATGTTGAGTTGGTAATCTCTATAGTCTATCAAACATTTAACATTATAATATCAATTTTCTTACCTAAGTTTTTCTCACTTTGGGTATGATCTTGGCTGTGCGCACCCTAAAAAGAAGAAAAATATATTTGTATCTGTTAACTTGCAAAAGTATAGTTCTTGGTATTTAAGAGAACATTGGTACCAAAATTTAAAACTTCAATAAATCTTTGTATACATACTTAGACCATATCTTTAAACAATGAGTGTTTAAAAGTCTTTTCCACAGAGCTTCTCCTGAGTTTGTTTCTCCCCTCAAAAGCTTTTCTCAAAGCTGATGTTCTCTCATGTAAACTATCATTCAATTCACAATAAACACTTTCAAAAAAGCTTTTCTAATCTCTAGTCAGAAAACTTTTTAGCATTACTTTCTCTGACATCCCTTCTGAAATGTACACAAAGTATGTACACTTCCCAATAAAACACTACATACCAAAAGACATCCTTACTTATATATACCTCACAACCAGAAAGTCTTTAAGAAGATACTACTAAAAATTAAAAAGTAACCTACTTACCACCCCATCATTGTACACTTGAGTCAAACGAACACAATTATGGGTTATAGATCCAGGACCAGATTCCCAATCTTCCATATAAGAGCAATCTTCTATCAGGGCATAATCTGCTATAGTGAGATCTTCCAGGGTAAAATCATCCATGGTGTATGATACTAAGTAAACAGAAACCCAAATTACAGTAGTTAAATCCTTTGAGACTACATGAGACATAGTTTTCCTGACCTCTGTATTTTTTGGTGTATTAGAAAAATACTTGGAATCTATGCCACAAGGAAAAAACTCCTGAAGATTCTAGTCCTTATTCTGCTGCTCTTCTTCCAAGTATCCATTTAATCTAATTCTTCCATTCTTCAGTTCACACATTCATCTCTCGACTGGATTTATCTGTTCTAAATGTAATCCTTTAGATTAGAAATCATTTAGGGTATCTTGTTCATCTATACATCCCTGGCTATTATTTAACACAGTGTCTAGGCACATGGCTGTTTTTGGGTGCCATTAAGTTGATTTCAACTCATAGTAACCTCATAGGACAATCTAGAACTATCCTATTAGGTATGTTTTCAATTAAGTGTTTGAGGAAAAACAACAGATATTTTTCCACTGCTCTCCTCGTATCTGATTTTACTATATCCTGTGAAAAATGCCATTCCACTATTCACTATTCTACTAGTCAGGAATTCCCTGAGATAATTATTTCCTATCAGATGCTCATATTCTCATATCTATCTCTGCATGTTTCTCTCCTGGGCAAAGAGGCAGGGCTTGGGTGATATAGGGTGAGTTTATCAATCACCTAACTCTCCACTGTTGCATCCATTCCTTCCTGTTTATAACAATCCCCTCCTCTTAGCAATCTCACAATTACTATAGTTCACAATCCATTCTGATAAACTGCAAAGGAAAGAAAAAGTTCTCACTTTATCAGGGGTCACACTTTTTAAAAAATTAATTCAAAGGAGAGAAAAGAGTTTAGGGCTAGAGTTTCAGATTACTAAAGTTTTTCCCTGAAGCAGTTTCAATAATAAGACACTTTAATAACTATATAAGAATTTATAACGACAAAAGCTAAATATCACTGAGCAATTTCAGCATTTTATTATTTCTACCGTTAATCCAAGCAAGGGCTTCCTTTTTCTTTTATCAACAACACCATCATTAATAGCTTTATTTTCATCATTATCCCACCATTGTTAGGATAAACCAAGTTTCTTTTTCCCTAAGTTAAGATCATCATCATCAAACCTTGAAACACAAATCTATTTATTAATTTTTATTACACCCAATTTAGGAGTCCTGGTATGGTGCTGTGATAAGCACTGAACTGCTAACTACAGGTCAGCTGTTCAGACCAACCACTCATTCCTCAGAACTCCTACAGAGGATCACTATGAGTTGAAACCAACTTGATGGAACTTAACAACATACTCAATTTGCTGTATAAGAACCTCACAATATCAGAAGTAAAGAATAATTATCAATCTTCTTAGCAAACTATTAAGGAGGCCTAGTGGCACAGTGGGAATACGGTGACTCCATACCATAAGCACTGGACTGCAAACACAAAGGTATGTGGTTGGAGCCTGCCAGCTGCTCCCCAGGAGAAAGATGAAGTTTTTCTGCTCCCGCTAAGATTTAAAGCTTCAGAAACCCTATACATGGCCATTATGAGTCAGAACTGACTCAATGGTGCTTAACAACAATAACAGTGGCACAGTGGGTTAAGCACTGGACTGCTAACCACAAGGTCCATGGTTCAAACCCAACAGCCGCTCCTCAGCAGAAAGATGAGGCCGTCTGCTCCCGTAAAGATTAACAGTTTCTGAAACCCTATAAAACAGTTCTATTCTGTGTAGGGCCATTATGAGTGGGAATCCACTCAATGGCTATAGCTTTGGGGTTGGTTTGTTTAGCAAACTATTTGTACTCTTTGTCATATTGTAATAAGTGTTTTACATGCATTGATTAGCTCATTAATCCTCACAGCAATTCCTATCAGGTTCAATCATCACCTTATCTACTGTACAGATGTTTTGCTTAACTAAATTAAGTACTTTGCTTAAAGTTGCTATGCTAAGAAGGATTCAAAAACTCAGGTCTTCTGATTTCACTCTATCAAACACTATATTTCACTACATCTACCCTTCCTTGTGTGCCGCTGTGGGTTAAGGCGCCAGACTGCAGAGGCGTTTGAACTGCTAAGTCGGCGGTTCAAGCTCACCAGCTACTCCTCAGAAACCCTATACAGGGTCGCTATGGGTTAGACCCAACTCGACGGCACTTAACAACAACAACCCTTCCTTGTCACTATCACTATTTCTCTGTTGGTTACTCTCATGTTTAAGAATGTAGATAACTACTTCTCAGTGTTCCTCTCGTCCCTCCAAATCCCATCATTCTCTCAGCTACATGTAGATGATCCCTTTAGAACTCTAGCCTTGTGTCGTAACTATCACTTCTGCTAAAATTAACTTCACTGCTGCCATACCACCTCAGGTACTACTCACTGCAGTTGAGTCAATTCCAACTCACAGGGACCCTGTAGGGCACAGCAGAACTGCCCCATACAGTTTTCCAAGGCTGTAAGTCTTTACAGAAGCAGACTGCTATGCCTCTCTCCCACAGGGCAGCTGGTGGGTTCTTAACTACCAATCTTCTTAGTGGTTGAGCTCTTTAAGCACAGCATCACAACTACCCAAATCTAAACCCGTTTTTATATCGTTAACTATCAGCTCCTCTCTGACCACAGCCAAGAGGCATTCTGATTCTCCTGTCTCATACTAAATCTATTCTTCAACTTCATTAAGAACTCATCTCTTGTCTCCTATTCTAGTACTCCATTATCATTCACTTTCCAATAATTTGGTTTCCACTTCTCCCATTCAAGGAAAACTGCGCTCATTAAGGTCATGAATGACTTTCTGCAAAAACTGGTTTGTGTCTGGAGCATGAGCTAGTCTAGATAAAAAATAATTCCAGAATTTAGGGAATTTTTATTAAAAAATGAGCAATAATGATAAAAAAAAAAAAAAAGACATTTTTGCATCCAAAGTATGGTACATAATATGGGACATATTGTTGTTAAGTGCTGTTGAGTCAGTTCCGACACCCAGCAACCTTGTAAAGGATTTCCAAGGAGTAGCTTGATGGGTTTGAATCACAAAGCTTGCAGTTAGTAGTCCAATGCTTTTATCCTATAGCATCATAACAGGACATAGGCTATCTTAGAAATACAAAGACAAAAGTAACCTCATTTCTCTTAAAAACATTTTTATATATGCAGAAAAAGACACTGTCTTATTACTCTTATCATCATGACATCAATTACCCATACAATTAATGTGCTCACATTCATCAGATTGAGCCACAGTGACATTGTGCTGATCATTCACAACTTGGTAGATCTCACTAATACCACAACACTATACCAAATATACTCTAATTATGACGTTGGTGAAACTGTTATTATCTGTCTTATGTTAATTAAAGAGGTGGTGTGGCATGGGGGCTAAAAGCATGGATTCTGAGTCCAGACTGCCTTGGCCTGGCACATTTATTGTATGTGTGGTCATCGGCAACTACTTAACTCTCTGTTCTTCAGGTTCCTCATATAACAAATGAGAATCTACCCAATTAATCCATTAACATGTAAAATGCTTGGAAGAGTACATGGTATAAAGTAAATGCTAAAGATACCAGCTGTCTAGTAGTAACAATATTACATGAATACTGTTAAACTCCTACTGTTTAGATCCGTCCAGCTAAATGGTCTGCCTTAATTGCTAATCCAAAGAACACTGTTCAGTTTACAGTTTTCTTGACACTGTTGACCATTTCTTCTTTCAATAGAACTCCTCACTTGGTTTCTAAACACCATCTTCTGATTCTCCTATTCTTCTAATTGCTTTCCCTCAGTCTTCTTCCTGAGCTCTTCTCCATTTCCTGTCACCCAATTATCAACTGTTTTCTTCTCATTCTCTGAGTGACCAAAAAAAAAAAACCAAGCCAGTTGCCATAACATCAACAACCCCATGTGTTACAGGGGAACTGTATTCTGTTGGGTTTTCAGTGGCTGACTTTTTGGAAATAGACTGACAGGTCTTTCCTTCCATGATTTCTTTGTGTGGGTTCCAACTACCAACCTTTCAGTAGGTAGTTCAGTAGACATGCTTAACCATTTATACCACCCAGAGATTCCTTTATCCACCACACCCATGGTTACATAGTGCTAAGCTTCTATTATTTGTATAGCTTTACCATGGCCAGTCACTGGAGAATGATATCATATTTGGTAAAGTGGAGGGTCAGAGAAAAAGAGGAAGACCCCCAGCGAGATAGACTGGCAAAGTGGCAACATCAATGGGCTCAAGTGTGGCAACAACTGTGAGGTTGGCCCAGGACCAGGCAGTATTTCATTCTGTTGTACACAGGGTCACTATGAGTCGGTATCGACTCGATGGCACCTAACAACAACAACCACCACCATGAGTTTTGGCATTTCCCACATATCCGGTGTATTTTTACTTACTTAATATTGCTTTTATTAAGCTCACCTTTTTATCATTTAGCCTTAGCCTACCTAAGTGATCAAGCCATAACTGATGTGCAGCATGTTTTTCACAGACATTAAGTTCTTTATTATTACAAATTTTTTTAAGTATTTCTCTAGGTACTACTTTAAATTATCTTATATTGTACAGTAGAGGAAACACTAGCTTAAGTTTCAAAATGCTGATGACTCCCCCACGACTCTCCAAGATGGGTTACATCTCCTGATTGTTAAATCAAGAGCTACTAGATCTTAACTAAGGCAAGTCCCTTAAACTGCAGTTAAATCCCAAAACAAACTTAACTTCTTTTCCCTCAAAAATAAATAAATGAATCCAAGTTATCAGCTAACTGTTCCACAACCAGTACTTAATTCTCAACTCCAAGAAGCATATCCTGATCTTCCACTAGTGCCAAGTTTGCTTTTGTACTTCTCTGTAAACCCACAGCACTGTGAGCTTCTTCTATTTTTTGACAGTAATCTGCACACCACTGGTCATCACAAATTTTCCTCTGTAGGTCCCAAAAGGTACATTCTGCCCTGCTCATGTCTTACTCACAAGGTAAAAACGTTTTTCAAATCCACTTGCCAC